CCTGCAAGGAAAGTGGGTCAGAGGGAGACATGCCATGCAGCCAGCCCCTGGGAACCCTGGAGCATATTCAGAAGGTTTTCATCAGAAAGTTAGTTGCTGACTCGGAGCTGGAGGTTTTGGAGGTTTGGCTCTTCCTTCAGTCTTCCTTATCCCCTGACCAGACATTTCCATTTTCCCACTGACCCCGGCTCAGCAGACGCCTACATGTGCTTTCTGGCTAGTCTTCCACATTAAGAAGAGCTTAAATAGTTTACGCCTATCTGTGAATGCTGTGAGAAACTAGTCAGTCCTCCAGCATGTTTCTGTGTCTCTGGCTGACACAAAGCACACTGTGCAAGTCTCATGGTGTGTTCACCCTGTCTGAAGCTGGTGTTTCCTCAAGAGCAGATTTTGCTTTTTGTTAGTTTGGAGTTTGCTAACTCATTATATATTTCACTTGGCACTGTGGGCTAATATACAACTCACCACAGGCCAATTAGAACCCAACAGAGTCCAATAGTATTATATAATAAACCTCAGATAAGATAAATAGCAACATTAACTTGTTATAACTTAAATTATTGTTAGTAACAATTGTTACTATAGCTTAAATAGTTGGTAGTGTTGCCCCATGTCTTTGAGTGCAGTTCTGGATTTAGCTTATGCAGAATAGGAGGAAGATGCAGACCTGGGTTTTAGGAGTGCTTTGGGGAGGGCTGGGGTGTTCCTGAAGACTGTTCGTGCTTCGTCTTTTTTTTTTTTTTTTTTTTTTGTTAATACAGAGACTGGCTGTACTATGCCAGAACACCACCAGATTCACAATTCTGCCTCTGGAATTACAACTCTCTTCCTTGTCAAACTTAGATTTTAAATGAAAATATTGCATATATTGTTTGCCATTACATCAGCGACATCCACCGCTACCTCTTCATCAAAGAGGGAAGAGAATTCTTCCCTAAGTATCTATTGAATAATTCTGACAAAATTTGTAGTTGTTGTGGAGGAGATATATACTTTGACAATTTGTTTTGTTTTGTGTGAAACAGAGTCTTACGTAGCCTGAGAGTTGAACTTAAGCTCAGTAGGTAGCTGAGGATGACCTCGAACTCCTGATCTTCTGCATCCTGAATGCAGAGAGGTGTCATCGATGTGAGCTAATTCCCAAATATGAGTTTCTTTTAGTCAACAACAAAAAGTTTCTACAAATAAAGTTCTCCCCCAAAAAAACTATGCCTTACTTAAGTGCCAAAAACCCAGTTAAGGAAATTGTTGTCCACTGTGCTCTGTGTCTGAGGCTTTCAGTCCCAGCTGCATATTAGCTATTTATTTCTGCAGACGACTTTCCCACACAGCTGGAGGATGGTCTTCATTTACAGTTTTTAGGTCAGGAGTTATAATCTTAAAATTATTGATCCCCAACTCCAGAATGTATACACAGCATGTTTCTCCTCCTAATGTTTGAAATCTGTTAAGGACTTGGGTTTGAAGACTCTTAGCTATGTGTCAACCCCAAGTAATGCTGTTCCAAGGGCCCCACCTGAGAACAAGGCTAGGGTAGTGGGAGCGGCTCAAAGGCCTCATCTGATGCACACCTGTGCAGGCCCTGTGCACACTGCCCCAGTCTCTGGGTGTTTATGTGTGTACCAGCTCTGCTGTCCAGAAGGCCTCGATTCCTTGGTCTCCTCCATCCCCTCTGACTCTTGCACTCTCTCCGTCTCCTCTTCTGCCGTTCCTTGAGCCCTGAGGGGAAGGATATGATTCCTTTTAGGAATCTTTCGGTCTCTTCATAATGTCTGACTGTGGGTCTCTGTGTTTGTTCCCATCTGTTGCAGGAGGAAACTTCTCCGATGATGGCTGAGCAAGGCACTGATGTATAACAGAATGCCATTAGGAATCATTTTATTTCTATGTCCTTGTAGCAGAACAGCAGAGTTTGGTTTTCCTAGGTCTAATCTAATCTCAGGTTCTTGGCCACCCAAGCATAGTGCGTATGGGGAGCCATCTCGTGGAGTGGGCCTTAAATCAGATAGTTGGTTATTCCTACATGTTTTCTGCTGCTATTACACCAGCATATCTTGCAGGTAGGTCACTCTTACAGAGTGAAAGGTTTAGCTTTGTTCGTGTTTGATGTGGGAAGTATATGTGTTGCTTTTATTGGTTAATAAATAAAGAAGTTGCTTTGGTCTGTGATAGGGCAGAGTAGAGCTAGGTGGGAGAACTAATCTAAATGCTGGGAGAAAGAAGGCAGAGTCAGTGAGAAGCCATGTAGCTGCCCACAGGAGACAGATGCCTCCACCGGAGCCTGCCATCTGAGTCCGTTGAAACTTTGCCGGTAGGCCACAACCTCGTGGTGATGCACAGATTACTGGATAGTTAGGATATAGAGCTAGCTAGAAATAAGCTTAAGCTGTTAGCCAAACAATATTTCAAATAATAGAGTTTCTATGTGATTATTTCTGTTCTGGGCATCTGGGAAACAAATGAGCAGCCTTCTTCCAACAGGTGTTTGTATTTCTCTTTTGGTAGCATGCAGAGTACCTTCCTGTACCAAAGATGCTAGAATGTAAAGCTGAAGCCTCTCTGTAGTCACCAGCTTGAGTTCTCCATGTTCAGTGAGTTGTGTAGGTAGCTAGTGTCATCAGTAATAGGGCCTTGCTGTCAGTTTGTGGATAGCACCAATAGCCTTGACTGTAGTCTAGGTTGTTTGGGGGTTTCCATGAGATGTCTTGGGATAAGAACTCATTTAGACTTTAACCATTCCTGATACTGGAATTTTGGTCATGAGTGATGTCTTGTCGAGGCTCTGTCTTCCCCATTATTTGGCAGTTTCATTTAGATTATCTTCATGTATGTATGTATATATGCATGTATGTGTGTATATGTATGTATGTATTATAGGAAGCTTCTACTATATTAAGTTTCCATTCCACTCCTCAAATGGGTTTAGCTGTCCATCCCTTCAATAGTGGTTTCTACTTTAGAAATCTTTGTCTTTTTGTCAGCCTTTATTATGAGCAATTTTAACATACTGTTTAGGTTGGCCGTAGATGGGTGCTGTGAAATACTAAGATAATTAGCCCCTTATTGACTGCAGGCCTTGGGTATTGACCAGCAGCCATCTGGTATTGATGATAACTCATGAGAAGCTCCCCAAGAGGCCACTACAGTGCCGTCCATGGAGACTCGGGGGCTTGTGTTTCTCAGTAAATACTGGATTTTTAAACCTTATATTTATTATAAATATGTTTCAATTTGTAGAACTTAGTAAATGACAGAGGAATGCCATACTTATTTGCATTAATTTAAATAACTATATAGTCCCTTATCATTAAAGTTTTTATCTTTCTTATACTACTATTCAAGTATAGTCTTATGAACATTTGTTAATTCAGTGACCTTGACATTTTTTCTTTTTTTTTTTAAATTTTTCTTTCTATTTTTTTTTATTTTTTCATTCATAAATATACACTTCTTCCCCTCCTCCCATTCCCCTCCCGCTGGCTCCCCCACTCACTCGCCTCCCTCCCCTTCCCTCCTTAAGAGAGGGCAGGCTACCCTGCCCTGTGGGAAGTCCAAGGCCCTCCCCCTTACATCCAGGCCTAGGAAGCTTTGCATCCAAATAGACTAGGGTCCCAAAAAACCTGTACATGCAAGTCCCAGTGCCTTTATCAAGGGCTTCTCAGTCAGCCCCCATTGTCAGCCACATTCAGAGAATCCGGTTTGATCACATGCTCATTCAGTCCCCTGTCCAGCTGAATTTGGTGAGCTCCCGTTAGAACAGGCACACTGTCTCAGTGGGTGGACCAACCCCTCACGGTCCAGACTTCCTTGGTCATCTTCTCCCTCCTTCTGCTCTTCAACTGGACCTTGGGAGCTCAGTCTGTTGCTCTGATAAGGGTCTCTGTCTCTATCTCCATCTGTAGCTGGACGAAGATTCTATGGTGATATTCGAGATAATCATCAGTGTGATGGTGGGGCAAGGACAGTTCAGGCACCCTCTCCTCTGCTGCCCAAGGACCTAGCTGAAGACATCCTTGTGGACACCTGGGGTCCCCTCTAGAGCCAAGTCTCTTGCCAACCCTAAAATGGCTCCCTTAATGTAGATATCTTCTTCCCTGATCCTATATCCGCCCTTCCTCCATCTCCACCCTCCCACTCCCCCAAGCTCTCCCTAGAGACCTTAACATTTTTTAATTATTATAAATCGTGACTAAGTAAGAAATTGAATTGAAGAGGAATGGATTGGGATTCAGAAACACAATTTATAGATACTTTGTATTCAAAAACCTCATTTTTTTGAATCTTTTTTTTTGTGATATAGTTGGTGTTTGCCTGAGAGTCTCAACATTTGAAAACATGTATTTAGGAGTAAATTAATATTTGTATCCTACAGTGTCAAATCTGACTTTAAGGCTAGGCAAGTAATGATAGACAATTTGCCCTTTTTAAGGGACCGTTTTTAGAGGTTTTAAGCGCTGGCTTCAGCTCTGGGCCTTCAGTTGGAATGCCATGGCTCTGTGAAGGCTTTTGACACTGGTGCAGCTGCTTCCGGTTTCTAGAGTGTGTTCCAGACTAACCTCACAAGTGCCATTTTGTCACATTTGTCCACCCCAGCTTATACCTTCCGGCATGTATTCAGATCTATATGGATATTGTTCCATCATGCTTTATTGCTCTCTCCCTATACCTTTGCTGTCAGAAAAACATTAGACTGTCTGTTGAGCAAATAGTCTCATTTCTCAGGCTAGAAGTACATCTTTCAACATTGTCTCAGGAGGCAAGGAATTGTATAGCTCTCTAGTGAAGAAGGGAATGCCCAGGCAGCTTCAATCATTTGGAAACAGTCCCCAAAACATATCTTTAAAAGAGAACTTTCAATCAGAAACAGATCCCTGTGTATTTTATTTAAAATGATGATTAGTAGTAAGTGACCCACATGCTAAGTGATCGGGGCTGGCATCTGCTGCCGGCTTTCTCTCTGTGCACCTGTGTGCTTTTCTGACTTTGCTTGTGTTTTGTAGGTAGCTGACTGTTCCTGGGATGAAACCATAAAGATCTATAACCCTGTTTGTCTCACGGTTCCTGGCTAAGATATGCCACCCTAGTCTGAACTGGGATATTGACCGATGAACTACTTAACAAAGCATTAATTACCGAAAGGATATAAATCAGGCCTTTATAGATTCTAAGATTTCAGAATTTTCAAACTTTCTTTGAAATCAGTTTTAAGGCAGCTGATAAAGACATTGTATTATATTGTAAGACATAAGCCATATTTTCTGTAATCATAAAGAATAATTATTGTTATGACATATATTGTAATGTCTATTAAAATGTTATCTCTGTATTGTAAAATGGACAAAAATATGGGAGGTTAGTAGATTACATGGACAGTAATATATTTCATTTCAAAATTTGTCATTTTGAATGTAAAATATGACCATTCTTATCGATAAATATAAAAATAAACTGCATTTCATGATTGTATATCATTTTGTGACATCCTAATGTGGTTGCCTTTTAAAAATGTATTCTGTATGTAGATATATTCTTGTATTTAATGTAGATGTAACTTATGTTTATTTGTGATCTCTAATGTAGATTTACATTATTTGGCAGTTATTTACTGAGCATCTACCATGTGTCTGATATATACTCAGAGGGGAGTTCTTTCAGGATGGTGCTGTGCTGTAAACTGTAGAGTGCCGTGAGTTAGCAGCTTACTTTTAAATTTGTATTTAAATCCTTTTAGGTAATGTACCCATGACATTTTTTCTCTTCCCACTTCTTCACTATCAGAACTTTTAGCCAGATGTGGCAGCACACACCTATAATTCCAGGCCTTGGAGAACTGAGGCAGGAGGATTGCAAGTCTCAGGCCAGCTTGGACTACCTAATGAGACCTTGTCCATCTCTTATCTCTCCCCCCACCGCCCCACCATGCCCTGATCCTACTAAGTCTTCTAGTTAATGCACATTAAAGTGGCTTTAAATTATACCCTAAACCCTCCTGGCTACCTCCCTTAATGAAGAAATTACAAATGTGGTTGGAAAACCTTAGAGTGAAAGTTAGTAGAACAAAGCATTTTGCATAGCTCGTATTTTATATGCCAAATATGCTTTATAGAAATGGCAGAAATTCTGATTCTTAAACCTTCGAGAATATTAATTTTAATAAATATTTATTCTGAGTGTGAATGTATGTGTGTACATGGGTGCCATATGAGTGTGGCAGTCACAGAACAACTTTCAGGAGTAGGTTCTTAGTTTTTACCGTGTAGGTCTTGATGGAAGTTGGATTGTTAGACTGGGTGGTCAGCACCTTAATTCTCCAAACTAGCTCATCAGCTCTTGAATTAGAAGATGAGAAGATCCCTCATGCTTGTGAACTGGAAGAGTCAATATTGTAAAGATGACCATCCTACCAAAAGCCGTTTACAAACTGAACTCAATCCCAGTCAAAATCTCTGTTACATTCTTCACAAAAATAGAAAAAAAATACAGTACAAAACAAACAAAAAACAAACAATCCAAGTTTATAGGGTAGCCAAGGCAATCCTGAGCAAAAACAACAGCGCTGGAGGGATTATTATACCAGATTCCAAGCTATATTGCATAGCTATAGTAAATAAAAAACAGCATGGTACTGGTGCAAAACCAGACACATAGATTCATAGAACAAAATAGAACACCCAAACATGAGTGCCTATAATTGCAGCCATCTGATATTTAACAAATATTCCAAAAATACACACTGGGGGAAAGACAGCATCTTTAATAAGTGGTGCTAGGAAAACTGGATATCCTAATTTTAGAACAAAATATACTTATAAAAATCAGAACAAAAATGAATCCAAGTGTATATGCCATACAAATTTATGTCTTATTCCAGAAAACATAAGATAAAGACAGCTCAAGACACAAAATAAAACAGCATAAATTTAGAAGTAGAACACGAGACAAAGTGGAGCCAGAACAGGGTTGGGAAATGCAAACCACAGAGTTCTGTAAGTTGCTACTGACTGGACCAAAGACTTGCTTTTCAGGTTTCCAACTTCATAAATGAGAAGCATGATCAGTCATGTAGCTCAGTGTCCATGGTCTGAAGACCCAGACTGTCTTATCACCAGGCCTGGCACATAGGAGACACTCAGAGTATACATGTTTACATGAATGGATCATGTCATGGCAAGGACACCTGTTGTCTTGGATCCTGAATCAGAAATACTACTAGTTCCTTTTGCAGTGGTTGGTAGTGAGCAGGGCACTCAGCTCTTCCAATTGTGACCTCGGAGTTGCATACAGCTGTCCCCCGTCCTTTCCCTCCACTGGAACTAATAGTATCTCACCAAGGTGTATCTCAATAAAGATGGGTCCACAGTGGTTATTCTGTGTTGGTAGAACCTGTAGTAAACTGTAACATGAGGACCTGCTTGTTGGGGTTTCTGTCCCACCCGGTTCCCCACAGCCGGCAAGCCCCAAAGAAAATCACACAGAGATCTCCATAAGTTATAAAACTGATTGGCCCATTAGCTCAGTCTTCTTATTAGCTCTTGTAGCTTATATTAACCCATTATATTTATCTATGTTAGCCACATGGCTCAGTACCTTTCACAGTGGGGCAGGTCACATATTGCTTCTTCGGTGATCTGGGCAGGAGTGTGGAGGGAGCTTCCTGCTTCCCAGAATACTCCTGTTCTCATCACCCCGCCTCTACTTCCTGCCTGGCCAATCAGTGTTTATTTAAAACATGATTGACAGAATACAGACAATTCTCCCACACCACTAAATCCAGATCATATTTATAATGAAATGAAGTTATTTTCTTCTTTGAATATGAAAGATTATCGTAAGAATATACCATGCATCTTTTGAAACAAAAACCTTCAGTTTTAAAAGCTAACATTAGCCAGGTGGTGGCTCACACTTTTAATCTGAACACTTGGGAGGCAGAGGCAGGTGGATCTTTGTGAGTTTGAGGCCAGCCTGGTCTACAGAGTTGAATTCCAGGATAGCCTGGACTACACAGTGAAACCCTGTCTCAAAACAACAACAACAACAACAACAATAATAATAATAATAATAGTAAATAAAATGAAGGTTACCTTTTTCTCCCTCTCTGCTGAACTACTAGCTTCTGATATATTCTAGGGGAGGGACAGTCATTTCTTCAGTACCTACTAAAGATTCAAACAGGCTTCGGCAGATGGTTCCAGATTCTTGATCACACAAACTCAATGGGTCTCAGAAACTAAAGTCATGGATGTACGAAGGAGTGTAGTAGGGAGGAAGACTAACAGAGGTGGGAGAGAAATTGGAGGGGGTTATAATAATGATAATGCACATTATTCATAAGTGAAACTATCAAAAAAAGCCAAAAGCTCTTTTAAAAAGTTTGCCAAGTGTGATGGTGCATGCCTATAATTCCAGCACTTGAGAGGGTGCAAGAGGAGCTTGCTGCCTGGGCTATAAAGTGAGTCCCTGTTTTCAAAAACAAAAATACAAGGACAACAAAATTTCCTAGCATCTCTCCATCCATTTTCCCTGTGTTCAGGGATGTGAGTGATGTGGTGGTATAGGAGGTCCTTTTGTCTGTATGTTGATTTCATTGGTTAATGAATAAAGAAACTGACTTGGCCTGATAGGATAGAACAGAATTTAGGTAGGTGGGGAAAATTAAATGGCATGTTGGGAGAAAGGAGGCAGAGTCAAAGAGATGCCATGGATCCACCAGAGACAGACGCTGGGAATTTTACCCAGTAAGCCACTGCCACATGGCAATACACAGATTAATAGAAATGGGTTAAATTAATATAAGAGTTAGCCAATAAGAAGCTAGAGTTAATGGGCCAAGCAGGGATTTAATTAATGCAATTTCTGTGTGATTGTTTTGGGATTAAGAGGCTGGGAACTAACTAGCAGCCTCCTTGCAACATGTGAGGGCTGTTTATGCTCTGACTTTCTGGTACATAGCTCAGGTTCTCAGCATCTGTCTATGAGTAAGTATTAACCAGTTGGTTCTCGAGCTAGTATTGAAAGATGAAAAGGGGCCCAGCTGGATTCTGCTCTAAAAGTGAAGGGGCATGCTTTTTGAAACCTTGATAGCTCATGAATTCAGAAACTTTTGGATGAAAAGTCATTCTTGGAAGAAATCAGCACAGATGTCCCGATCACCTGCTGTGAGCATCCATCCTACCTGCTTTCCAGACTGCCGCTGCACCTGCTGTGAAGGACCACATGACTCATCTACCACCAGGGCAATGTGTGACATGCTCCATGTATGCAGTCCTTTTTGGGTTTGTTTGTTTGTTTTGTGTTGTGTTGTTTTGTTTGAGATGGGGTCTCACTATGTAGCTCTGGCTGTCCCGGAGTTCACTATGTGACCAGACAAGTCTTGGACTCAGAGAGTCCTACCTGTCTCTGCCTCCCGAGTGCTAGGATTAAATCTTTTTTTACTTACCTGCCCAGCGCCATGCTGCTTTCTAGACAGGGAAGCCAGGGTGTCTGGAGTCACAAGAGACAGCAAGTAATAAATAAACTGAACTGAAATCTTGCATAGCAGACTCCAAACCTTTGCCCCTGCCATATGACTGCCTTTCTAATAAGATGAGTTTTATTCCTAAGAATCAAGATGTGAGCTCTTGTGACTAGATTGTCACCATTTTGAGGGGAATAACAAAATTACATTCTCCAGCCTAAACAGTGAAGAAGTTGAGTGTAAGCCTGGGATCCTGTGGAGTCCATCTTCACTCTAGATTATATTGCTTTTGTCTTTCACACTTCTTCACTGAATCCCTTAATATTTTGGCTTTTCCAGAAATGAACCCTTAGTGATTTCTTACTAACAGATCCCTTCTTAGATGCACCAATCTCCTTAAAAGTGTTTTTGAAACTTTTATACATATGAATGAAATACTGGTTGCCTCCTGCCTTCCGCTGCATGTTCTCCCATGAGCCTGTGAATCCATTTTCTTCCAGCCAAAATCATCTTGCTCACTACACCAGCAGCTTCCTCCTGTGTGTGCTTTCTCATTAGTTGCCAAGGAAGATTCAAGTTAAACATTAGTTTAGGTCAGTTAAAGACCTACATTCAAACCCTTCCGCCCTCTCCACACACACACTGAACAGATCACTGTGTCCTGTCCCTTTACTCCTCAATTCAAGCACTATCACCCCAGCCTCTCTGAACAGTTGCCACCAGTCTCTGAGTAGCTGCTCTATTTCTAGTTCTGTACCTCCATAGCCACCCTTCTCTGTGCTGCTGCCAAAGACTCATCTAAATGTCGCCGAAGCATCTCAGTTTCAGTGTTAAACCTTTGTGCTTAGGACTGCCTACAAGAAACAGTTCAGTTCCACTAACTGGACAGCTCCGTCCCAGTGACTGCCTGTAGCAAGGCTCCTCCAGCAACACCGGTATGTTCACAAAAGCCCATGGAAACCATGCAAGTTTTCAGTTCTATCTTTGCTTAAACTCGTCTGTATACCTTGGATGTTATGCTTTTGGCTTGGCAAGTTCTTACTCATCATTTTAAAAGTTACATGACATGACTAAAGAAAAAGATTGACAGCAAGTTCTAAAATAGCAAACACACGGTTAGCAGAGCTAATAGAGAGGGGGCAGAAAGAAAGGATATCCTTTAAAGGATGCATTAGCCCCTGCTAGCTAATAGCCAGTGTGTGTGTGTGTGTGTGTGTGTGTGTGTGTGTGTGTGTGTGAATGCATGTTCATGTTCATGCAGGCCAAAGAACAACTTCTACCTTGGTATTTGATGGGGTTTCTCACTGGCACTGAACTCAATGATAAGGCCAGGTTGGGTGACTGGGGAGGCCAGGACGTCACCTGGGTGAGTATCCACCTCCTCAATGCTATGATTACAAGTCTGCACCACCACATCTGACTATATGCGTATGGGTTCTGGGAACCAAACTCAGTTCCCCATGATCGTGGTTCAGTGACTGAACCATCTCCCCAGTCCTGGTTTCCAGAATTTATAAAGAACATTTAAAAATCACTAGATAAGGACTGGGGAGATGGTTCAGCAGTTAATAACTCTTCTTTCTCTTCCAGAGAGCCTATGTTCGGTTCTTAGCGCCCACTTTGAGATAACTGCTTGTAACTCCAATCCCAGGAGAGCTAACACTTTTTCTGACCTCTCAGGCACCCAGACACACATGGCATTAACATACACAATTACAGATAAAGAAAAATAATGAATCTTTTTAAAAATTACTAGAGAACAAAACACAAAAGTAGACAGAGGATATCACTGGAGAGTTCATAGGAGTAGGAGGAGTGTTGGATATCCTTCAAAATGTTTGACTGTTCTTCGCAGATGGTAAGGAAATACTAATGAAAGTGAGATCTTGCTCCCTTTTCTGCATATTGCTTTGACAGGCATTTAACATACTGATAAAATCCAATGCTGGTTAAATTGAGAGTGTGGCTACACACTGATTCTGGTAAGCAATCTGGCAACAAGTCAATATTGTAAGTTCCCCTGTGACCCTGCTGTTCCACCTCCAGTGTTCTCAGAATGTCCTGGAAGAAGTATAGAGGTCCATACGTATCATATCAGCATTTCATAAAACCTGAATGCCTGTCTAGACAGAACTTTTTCATAGGGCTGGTGATATGGCTCAGTGGTAAAACACTTGCCTGGTATGTGTGAGACTCTAAGTTCAGTTCCTAGTACAGGGAAGAAGGGGAAGAAATGGAGGAGGAAAGGGGAAAAGGAAGAAGAGGGGAGAGAGAAAGATATAAGAGTATTTTTGATAATGGCTCAGTCTGTAAGTTGCTCACCACTCAACCATGAGAATCTGAAATTGGACTCCAGTCACTGTGTGGACTCCTCACAGGCTGTGTGAGCTGTTCATACAGGAGGGCACTGATCCTCCCCAGAAGTGGTCAAGAGAAATCCAAGATCGAAGCCTCAGTGACATACTCATTCCTGTCATGTTGTGTGGGTCACCAAGACTAACTACAGTCCAGTGAAGAAGTCAACAAGGTTGTGAATAAAGAATAGAACTATGTTAAAAGTTGATTATGACAAACTGTTTTTAAAAATGACGAGCAGTATGTGCAAATGAATGGTCTCCCAATTTTACTTTTTATTTTTTTTTTTTGAGACAGGGTTTCTCTGTAGCTTTGGAGCCTTCCTGGAGCTCACTCTGTAGACCAGGCTGGCCTTGAACTCTCAGTGATTCATGGTCTCTGCCTCCCGAGTGCTGGGATTAAAGGTATGTGCCACCACCACCCAACTCCCCAATTTTACTTTTTAAAGAAGAGTTTGTATATGATCACATGTATAAAAGACTGCAGGGCAGTCGACCATGAGCCATGGTAGGGTGGAGGGTGCTGAGCACTGAGGACACCATTTTCTTGCTATTTATAGCTTGTTTCCTTTGTCTGGACGACAATGAATGAGCATGAGCCACATTTATAATTAAAAATGGTAAAGTAAATTTCTTTACAACCATTCGTCTTTCTTCAGAAAGCCTTCTCTGCTCCCCGTCAAGCTAATATAATTGCCTTCCTGGGTCCCTGTCTTCTGCTGCAAGACTCCCCTGCTGCCTTATCTGCCTGGTGCTGCCCCTCCCCCACGTGTGACTCCCCAAGGACCAGCTGAGTGCTCATCCTCCAGTCCTCCGCCTAACAGACTGCCCAGCACAGAATATTTGCCCACTACGTTTGTTGAATGAATGAACGAAAAGATTGATTTTATGCCAGTAATATTTATTGAGTAGCTCTAAAGATAAAGAGCTAGTGTCTCGACCTTTGGTAACTTGATGCCAATTGGTCAAATGGCTTTGTGACCTCAGATTCAAATTCTGGTTCAACTGATCTTGCTAAATACAGCCTTTTTCTTGATTTTCTTTAGGAACTTATCTAGTGACTAATTTTGTTGGAGATGGGGTTCATTTGTTAGGTCCTACTAGAAAACTCTATCTAATACAGCTAGGAAAATCTGCTGCTTCATACCTTGTAGACCAGAAATATTAAGCTAAATAGTCTTGCCTAAATGAGAAGGGTAAGGTAGCTGAGTCAGCCCCCAATCCTCCACCTAATGTTAGGCTCACAAATGGAAGCAATTATAATTGCTGGCAGAAATGAATCATTTCAAAACTAGGCCTGTACAACCACTTCTTTGTAATATCCGCTAATAATAGGATGTCTTGCTGCAGCAGCCCTGTGACTGGAGTGGTCCGGAGAAAAGTCACCTATTGAAAACCTTAAAAAAAAAAAAAAGAGTTCACGTCTAGTCTTGATCTCTGTTCTCTGCATATTTTGAATATACCTTTAACGCATACACGTAATTTGTACGGCTTCTTCAGCCTTCGTTATTTCCTAGACCCTTGAAGACCAGAGTCTCTTAAATAGCTAATAGTGTGTGACCACAGCTTACAGTAATAAAACCGAAGAGTTCCCCGGGGAAGGGGAAGCGTTCAGCACAAAGCATCTGGGACTCACTCCTGCAAAGTCAGCTCTGTGGGGCCCAGACTCTCCTGAGTGCACACCTGTCAGGGACAGGCAGGTGGCTGTCTGTATTAGACACTGGGCACTAGCTAGCCGGAGCCTGAGGACTGGCTGAGATGGTGGGCTCTCACCACAAAGCACCCGCAGCACAAAAGCTGGTCCCGGACAAGGAACTGCAGTGAACCTGGGATTCCCGCTCTAACGGTTTTCTCCCACGATGAAATAATAATCAGTTTCTACACGTGTATTCTACTATCGGGTTCAGCATAGAAGCGTATAAAAGGAGATATTAGATTTTGAGGAAATATGTATATCCCATGTGTCCAGGCAAGGAGGTGCGGTGTTTTAAGGTTATGAGTTTGAAATCCCGGTGGCTAAGAGACAAGATCCCACTGACTGAAAGGGGCGCAATGCAAAGATCTCGAACTCCCCGCTTCTCAGCCACAGCCTGGCCTTGGCTATACATTTCAAACAGCGTGAGAACTAGTCTGGCGCTGCGTTCCTGCTGAGTTCGCTGTGGGTCAGAGCATAACTTCCCGGCAAATGAATTCAGATCAAAGTCTCACTGGTTTGACGTGGGGGTAGGGAGGGTCACAGGGAGAAAGGAACACACGCACCTTTCACAAGTACTGAGGGCCATTGGTGTTACTTCCTGCCCAGGGAAAGCGACATCCACACCATCCTACTCCCCAGAGTTGCCCATGACTGTCTAGCAGGCTGCAGCAGGTTCCCAGGGATGCTAAAACCATTTCTACGGAAACTCCCGACAGGGTGGAGAGTCTGAGGTTCTTCGCTGCCGCACCCATCTACTTTATCCCTCTTTATCACGCCTCTGGCGCTACCCCTCCACCTCTGGGGCTGCTTCCTTCCCTTCCAAGCTCCTCCACTACTAGTACTGTCTGCTTGTCGTCGTTCCCCTTCCTCCTCACCCCAACTCCAGTTTCTGCTGTTTGGCCCATTTTGTCTCTTTGCCTAAATTTAATGTGTCCCTCCACTTCCATGATCCCCTGCAGAGATGCCATCCTTTATGAGAAAGCTCCCGCAGGGCAATGCCACGATCCCAGGACCTTTGCTTGGAAGGGGTGCAGACTCCAAGCTCTTCGCCTGGCACCAGAAAAGGTCAGCCTCCGGGCTACAAAGCATTCCCGGCAGCGGGTTCTTTCAAGGCACTGGGATCTTGAGTGTCAGGGCCCCCCTCCCGCCGCCCTTCAGCACCGACGTGTCTGTTTCCCGTGCATCGCTGGGAGAGACCGTGGGTGGAAAATCCGCTGCAACTCGCGGGCCACCGGGCTGGGGGCGCCGTCACTTGTTGCAACCAATGAACGGTGTTCAATGCTGGGGCGCTGTTGTTTCTAATACCGTCTTTAGCTGTGCAGGGGATCCCCCAGCCCGCAACCCACGGCTCTGCCACTGTGGGAGGGAAGAAGAGCCGCACCCCGACAGCCAACCCAGGTGGGCGCTGGGAGCCCAAGGGGCGCAGATTCATCCGACCCCAGGGCAGTGGACCAGTCGCCAGCCCGCACTCCGCAGAGAGCCCAGCCTGACCCGGGAACCGCGCGGGACACGTCTCATCGCCGCTCCTCACCTACTTCCAAGTCGCGGTCCTTAGGATTCCCGCCACTCCTCGTAGACCCGTCCCCCACCCTTGGCACTTTTCGGAGTCCCCCCCACCCCCGCCTCCCGGGAGCTGCGGGGCAGTCGCACGAGGAGCCGCCAAGCTGCGAGGACGCCCGGCTGGAGCTACCCTGGGCAACCTAGCCCGCACTCCCTGCCCTTCGCTTCGCCCCGCCACCGTCTCCGCGCCCCCGCCGCCCTCGCTCTGCGCTTCTCTTCTACCCTCCCGCCTGTCCGGAGCTCCGCCACCGGCGAGTGCGGCGAGGCCGGCGCGATGCGGCAACTGTGCCGGGGCCGAGTGCTGGGCATCTCGGTGGCTATCGCGCACGGGGTCTTCTCCGGCTCGCTCAACATCCTGCTCAAGTTCCTCATCAGCCGCTACCAGTTCTCCTTCCTGACCCTGGTGCAGTGCCTGACCAGCTCCACCGCGGCGCTGAGCCTGGAGCTGCTGCGGCGCCTGGGGCTCATCGCAGTGCCCCCCTTCGGCCTGAGCCTGGCTCGCTCCTTCGCGGGGGTCGCGGTGCTCTCCACGCTGCAGTCCAGCCTCACTCTCTGGTCGCTGCGTGGCCTCAGCCTGCCCATGTATGTAGTCTTCAAGCGCTGCCTGCCCCTAGTCACCATGCTCATCGGCGTGCTGGTGCTCAAGAACGGCGCGCCCTCGCCAGGGGTGCTGGCGGCCGTGCTCATCACCACCTGCGGCGCCGCCCTGGCAGGTGAGCGGGACCCGCGCCAACCCCCGGTCCACCCTCCCCTCCCGGTAGAGATAGCGGGGACCACTCGATGCAACGCCCCTTACTGCCAGACGGGGAGACTGAGGCAGAGCAAGGCAGAGAGCTTTGAGTGGTCCTTGGGCTCACAAAAAGGACTTTGTTCCTGAGACCCAGTGCAGCCTTCCTCAGTCTTTAGCCAGCTTCCTCCATCAGCCCTCCCCTCACCCCCGGTGCCCCGGCTTCCGCCCCCCGCCCCTTTTCTCAGCACGTCGCCCCCACCCGGGTCTTTCTGGTTCAACCCTTTCCTCCGGGAGGGATGGAGAGTCAGTCGCCAGAGTGGAGAGCTGGAGTCCAGCCCCGGACTGAGCCGGAAGGAAGGGGGCCGGGAACTTCCTCGATCACACGGGCTCGGGAAGCTTGGGAGATGGGAACGAAGCCTGGGTGACCCAGGCTTGTTCGGAGTACCCGGGCACTAGACGGAAGGGATCCGCCTGGGGCTCAGGTGCGGGAGGAGCCAGGAGGAGCCAGGAGGATCCGGGAGGATCTTTCAGGATCCAGTTGCTGTCCGCAGGGGAAACCCTCTTTCCAGGGCCCAGCCCGCGCCTGGGGTGAGGCCACTAGCTGGGGTTCCCTCTCCCTTCCGGTGCCCACGGGGCGGGGTGGAGGCACCGTGCCTCCGTGCCGGTTCAGAGATGCCAAGGCGCCCACCCCGAGAGCATCTTAGCTCTAGGTGACCTTCATCCTGGCTAAAGGAAGACACTGGGCTTGACTGTCGCATTTTGACACAATAATGGAGGCACGAAGGGCTTCTGTTGGGTACCCGGGAAATTCGTGGGCAGAAGTGGGACGCTAAGCATGTTTTTCCAACGCGACACGCTTCCCGGAGTGGATGCCCACCCGCACCAACCCTGTGTCTCCTCTCTTTTTCTTTCCCGCGCTGACTCGACCGTCTTGGTGCGCTCAGGAGCTGGTGACCTGACAGGCGACCCCGTTGGGTACGTAACCGGCGTGCTGGCGGTGTTGGTGCACGCCGCCTACCTGGTGCTGATCCAGAAGGCGAGCGCAGACACGGAGCACGGGCCTCTCACCGCACAGTATGTCATCGCGGTCTCCGCCACCCCTCTGCTGGTCATCTGCTCATTCGCCAGCACCGACTCCATCCACGCCTGGACCTTTCCAGGCTGGAAGGACCCCACCATGGTTTCCATCTTCGTGGCCTGTATCCTGATCGGCTGTGCCATGAACTTCACCACACTGCACTGCACCTACATCAACTCCGCGGTGACCACCAGCTTCGTGGGCGTGGTGAAGAGCGTTGCCACTATTACGGTGGGCATGGTGGCCTTCAGCGACGTGGAGCCCACCTCTCTGTTTATTGCTGGAGTCGTGGTGAACACCCTGGGCTCCATTATTTACTGCGTGGCCAAATTCGTGGAGACCAGAAGACAGAGCAACTATGAGGATTTGGAATCACAGGCGGCAGCAGAGGAACCACAGTCAAGTGGGGACCTGATACCTTTTGCTATGGAGGAGCTGCCTGCCGAGGGTGGAAATAGCGGGTCGGAGGGTGCAGAAAGGGCAGGTGGCTCTGTACATCAAGGTGGGCAAGAGGCAAGGGGCAGTCCCAGAGGAGTCTCACTGGTCGCTGGGAGCTCAAGCATAGAAGAGCATTCTGATGAAGGGGGTAGGAAGTCCTTAAAGGACGCTTACTTGGAAGTGTGGAGGTTAGTGAGGGGAACTAAGTATATGAAGAAGGATTATTTGATAGAAAATGAGGAGTTACCCAGTCCTTGAAAAAGGCATGCATGTATGTACATATGTACATACGGTTATTTTATATGGTAGAAATAACGTTTAAGGAAGGGCCTCCAGTTTTATCTGAGGAGCAGGGGAAGAGAAGACAGCAAAAGCTGAAAGGGGCCAGCAGAGATGAATGAGCACCTATTTCTTATTTATTAATTACTTAGTGGGACTTTGCCTGGGGTACCACAGAAGGAAGAGACCCGTGCAGGTGCTTACAAAATCAAAAAGGGATTTCAGCTTCAGACTCCTGGACATTTATTTTTTGTCTTTATAATCATAACCAAATATTTGCATGTACCAAGAGTCCCTCGGCCACCCCTTCCAAAGATGGCTTGTAGCAATGATGACATCACTTAATAAGTTCAAAGTCACATTCAGGGGCACATTTCTGATGACAGAACTATAGTTTTTATTGCCTGCGAGGCAAAGAGTATATTGTTGAAATGGCATTTATTAATGCACTGAATTGTTTACTCTTCGGATCATCTGCAATATCCTGTTTACTCGAATTTTCCTTCCTTCGTTTTTTAAATGAGTATTCTATTATTCTATTATATATTAATAGGAAATGTTGACGCTATTTTGAAGACATGTGTTCTTAGCTTTGATGATGAAGTCTAAAGTTTGCTCTTTGTAATTATATATCTTAAAGGCTGTTGGGGTTCCTTGCTTTCTAATATTTATTATTGAATGCTATAACCTTTTAAAAAGTCCATTTTCCCTCATGTAATACTCTCTCAAGCAAATGCAGTGGCTGGAATATAATTCAGTGTTGACTGTAGAACAGTCAGAAGGGAAACAGGCTGCCTTGGAGAGCAACCCAAGTCATACTGCACACCCCCAAACTCTGTTACAAAAAGAGCAACTGCTATATTCGCATTATGATATTTTTCTATCTTATATTTGTCAAAATAAAGTGTGAGCCTATCTGTAAAGAGGTGGGTTGTTTGAGTTTGTTTCAGACACCTTTATGTGCTGTTGGGCAGTTGAAAGCTGCTTCCCACGTGTGGAATACAGGGGCTGTTGTTCAAGTTCCAACCCATTGGGAGCTTTTTTTTCCTTTTACCGTTCCCAATGGTGACATTGACCTTCTGATCTTCCTGGTGTTGAGAATACCAGCATGCCACGCCTACTCTATTGTGCTGCTGTGCACTGAAACCAGGGCTTCCTGCCTGCTTGGCAAACTCTCTACCACCTGAGCTGCACCTCCCAGCTGCCATTGGGGACTTTCTAAATTACCCTGGCAGTTGGATTTAAAATGATAAAACAAACAACAACAAAGAATTTCCAGTGAGAAAAACTATAAAGAAGTAAAATACCATCTTGTACTGAAGAAAGCAAGCCACTCATTTGAGATAGCAGTGCAAATGCCAACTGAGATAGAACAAATGGAGCAGCCACCAAAAGGAATGCAAGAGAGGGACCCTGACACTGAGGTTACTCTTGTTAGCCAGCATCTTCCTGGGAGGCTCAGATAGTGGCATCTTATATTTTTCTGTCATCTACAAAAGAAAAAAGTCACAACAATCTAAAAAGCAGAAGCAGAAGTCATGTTGTGGCTCATTGGCAGGTGTCTGCATTCTGGTGAGCAAATGGAATGGTGGCTCTGATTGCTCCTGCTTTCCGGCTTCTTCCAGGCAGGCGGTTGCTTTCAGGAGGGCCACCATAGTTCAGAAGTTAGGGGTGGATAAATAAGAAAACCCAGAATTACAATGGCTTTATAAAGAGAAAGCGAAAAAGCACTAATTTTGGCACCGGCATGCCAGAGGGCAATGTCCTGGTACACCAATAGAAAGCTGAGAATTAATTAAAAGCAGCAGAGTTGAAGGAAGCCTGGGATTTCTTTTTATACCATCAGAGAATAATTGTTTTGTACCGAACAAAATTCCTCTTTGATCACAAGTGTGCGTTTACACATATTGCAAAAAAGAGGAACTCTTTCTTGCCAACAAACTTGATGAAACATTCTTTTAGAGTTCCTTAGATAAATAGGAGAGACGGGGGCATCTAGGTATTCATGATTGTGGGGGTAGCTAGTCTGAAATCTGTGGCAAACTCAGGCATGGCTCCTGTGCAGAAGTCACCAAGGCAGAATTCCTTCTAGAAATTTTAGTGTTGTTCCTAAGGCTCAAAACTAATGGGAAGAGGCCTATCCATGTTAACGGAAGGTATTTTTTTTTCTACTCAGAGTTTACTTGTTGTTCTTGGTTGTTTTATTGCTCTTACTCTTTTGGCTCTTTTGGGGGGGGGCCACCACCTAGCTCCCAAGTAAATCACACATGGAGGTTTGCTCTTTCTCATGAATGTCTGGTCTTAGCTTGGTTTATTTTTAGAAAGTGTTTTTAAATTATCCCATCTACCTTTTGCCTCTGGGCTTTTTCCTTTTCTTTGGTAATCTTACTTTCACTCTTAGTCTGTGGCTGGCTGGGTGACTGGCCCCTTCTTTTCTCCTCTCCTTTTCTTGCTTCTTGATCTTTGATGTCTCTCTCCCAAAATTCCTCCTATTTATTCTCTCTGCCTGCCAGCCCCACCTATACTTTCCCCTGCCTTGCTATTGGCTGCTCAGTTCTTTATTAGGCCAATCAGATGTTTTAGACAGGCAAAGTAACACAGCTTCACAGAGTTAAACACATGTAACATAAAAGAATGCAACATATTTTCTGACTGGGAAAGTTATTTTTTTTTAATGTTAAACAGGTGTGTCTAGGACTAACACTGCAGCTTTGCTTGTTGGCTCTGCCCCATCCAACATGGTGGAGGTATGCTTACTGCCTCTGTGAACCATGCTCAATGCCCCAGCTCCCGAAATGTAGTGGGTCTAAGTCACCATTAAGTAACTTGGAGCACTCAGCCAGAGCCATTCTTGCTGCCAGCACAAACCAGAAACCCGACTCTTAAAGGAGCCAAGCAGTTTTTGCTGCTAACGCTATGTCAAAAAAAGTCTACCAGATACTATGGGCCTGTGGGTTGAAGATGGATGCCACAACATTACAGAAGAACTTTGGGGTATTCTCCAGGCAGAGAGACGTCTTTGTTAATTCTAGAGTTTTGGAGGTTGCTTACAATGTACTTACTGTTTACTTAGGTAATATTATATCCTTCTGGGTTCTTTGATGGAGTTGAAGACAGATAGAGTTTTCCTTAGTTATGATAAAAGATACATTAGATATGAAGCTTTATACTCACAAAGAAATATTCTAATTAATTCTTGCTTGATACCTGTTTTGTTATATGTAATTTTACTATGTTAAAGTTAAAACCTTCCTTTTCATTTAGGAGAGATGATTTGGAATTCCCCTCTGTATGCTGTGAATATGTTTTATTACCATTGGTTAATAAAGAAACTTTAGCCTATGGCAGGGCAGAATAGAGATAGGTTGGAAAACTAAACTGAATGCTGGAAGAAAGAAGGCAGAGTCAGGCACATGCCCTATAGTTGCTGAAGGAGAGAGACTAGAACCTTATCAATAGGTCACAGCCTCATGGTGATAGGCTAATAGAAATGGGTTAATTTAAGATGTAAGAGCTATCTAGGAATATGCCTAAGCTATTGGTCAAACAGTATTATAATAAAAAAGAAAAAAGAATGCAGCACATTTTGCAGTGTTAAACAAATGTTGCACAGCATAAAAATATAACACATATTTTGTTTTTGTTTTTGTTATTGATTTTTGAGACAGGAGTAGCTTTGGGACTTGTCCTAGAACTAGTTCTTATAGACCAGATCTGCCTGCCTCTGCCTCCCAAATGCTGAGATTAAAGGCATGTAGCACCACTGCCCAGCTAGCACATCTTAAAATAATATTCTTACAACACTTGCTAGTTATGAATGCTGATTACATGTTTAAGATGTCCCTATATCAACACTTAGATGTCTATTTAATCTGATGGTTTGACATCACAATCTAGTCAGGTTGAAGGTGATTATGATGATAAGAAAAATTCAGAAAGTTCTGTCATTGTCACACTATTTAGACAAAACTTGGGAGCCTCTACTTAAGGTCTTTCAGGAAAAGAGCAGACAGAACACAAGAGAAGACAGGTACTGTAAGCAGAGGGAAGGAAACCAGGGATGGATAAAAAAGAAATGCTAAAATTTGAAAGCAAAAACACCCAGCATGACAGCACTGAAGAATTCCTGGGAGAAAGTATATTACAGGGTCACAAGTCAGCACTGGAACTCATTGCCTGGTTGCTAGAGGCTGTCAGGCCACACCCAACTCTCCAGATCCCTCCGCTATCTTTCACTCTCAAGACCACCAAAGAAACCTGCCTTCCACTGCCCTGTGACTTCACCGTAAGTCTTCTCTACAACACGACGAGGTGTCAGACTGTCATTCTTGGTGCTGGCCTCCTCCCTCTGAATGTTATCTAGCTGTCAACTAATGCTCGTGGCATAAGTCAACTGGAAAGAGTGGGAAAGGATTGGCAGAGCTGCATAGAGGAGAATGTGGATGCTTGTAACTGGAGAAAGGAGAGCAGCTGACCAGCAATCTAGACTCCCATAAGACCAGTCATTTACAGCGGGGTCACCCCTTGTCTGCTTCTCTAGGTCATTGCTGGCAATATTCAGAAAAAAACAACAAAATAAAACACAGCAGGTGAAATTCACAAATCCTGATCTAATTGACAGGTGGGTTTTTTGCATATGTGGGGGATTATTTGATTACTTGGAGAAGAATAATTAATTAATTTGGAAGTTATTTATTTTTATTTCTCTGAGATAGGTTTTTATATAGGCCATTTTCCTATAAATATCTATAATTTCTTTGTGTAGAGATATTTCAAATTCTTCTCATCTAGTTATTTATAGAATATATTAGTTGTTGTGAGCCATGGCCACCCTAGACTGACGATTCGTAGGATCCTCTATTTAACTGTATTGTGGTATATGATAAGTCCCCCACCCTTCTTTCTAGGTTCTAAGTCATCACTGTTCAACACTCTAGTTCTATGAAGGCAAGATTTTTCAGCTTGCTCGTTTGAGTGAGAGTATGTGGTAATTGTCTTTCTATGCTTGACTTATTTAATTTAACTTAGAATCCTCCAGCTCCATCCATAGTGCTGCAAGAAAAAGAATTTAATATTTTATTACTGAATAGTATTGTAATATATAAATGTGTCATTTGTACCCATTCTTCACCCATCATCCATGGATGAATGCATGCATCTACCCATCCATCCATCATCCATCACCCATCATCCATGGATGGATGCATGCATCTACTCATCCATCCATCATCCATCATCCATCATCCATGAATGGATGCATGCATCTACCCATCCATCCATCATCCATGAATGGATGCATGCATCTACCCATCCATCCATCATCCATCTACCCATCTTCAATTCATCAATCCTTTCTTCATTCTTCTAAACCTTGGACGATTCCCTATCTTGGATATGCATTCTTATGAAGTCCCGGTCTTAGTGAACCTATGGCCCTAGACCTTTTCTCTTTGCAAATGTTTCTTAACCTCTCCCCTCCTCATAGATGAGTCAGGAGAGCTAAAGAGACTTAATGTAGGAGGAATAAAAGCCCTTCTGCCAGGTGGGAGAGGCTCTGCTCCATCTTGGTACCCGGAAAGGAGGTGTTTGTTAGGGACATGCTCTGGACATGTGTCACAAGTCACTCTTCACCTGAAGGCTAAGGGACCTTTTTCAACCCTTTTCCAGCTGTGAAATTCTTGGGTGTCAAACCTATGGATGGATGAGTGCACCCTAGGCTGTAGTCCCCACTTAGTTATTCATTGTAGTCATAGATAGTCAAATTCATCCATAAATTATGAAAATCATCATTTAAGTATTTCTACAAATCATAGCTCTAGTGGCTTCTGATTCTGATTAGCTGTAACTTTCTCCATCCACACGGCTCCCCAGAGTTAGGGGTGACAGTTTGCTCTTTGTCTTCAGTTATTAAATGGATCCAAGA